CAGCCTGCATCCTGATGGCAATGTGAATGTATTTGACTGCTTTCATCATGGAAAGAGCAGGTCTTTGTCTTTACTGGAATAGACACATCCTTTTTATAGAACTTTCTTCCTTAAATATAATTCTTGAAAAACTCTAGCATCCATCAGCTTATAAAATGCTTCTTCTGCCATCCAGTTCTTCCACACAGCATTTATTCTTAGTGAGGAATGCTCTCCAAGGATATGGAAGAATGGAAAAGTCCTTATGATCATGGAATTGATTGGACCTGACACATTTCCTGCCATATAGATACAGGTGGATTGACATAATGATGAAAATGTCTTTTCAAGATGTAATCACAGTGTTACTATACAGTAATAAATTGCACGCCTAGGCAAAGTTATCCATGTGTCTGTGTAAAGCCTAAGTCATTTTCTGACATCTGAAACTACTGTCAGACCCTGAATGCCTGGGTACTGGAAGCAGTGTGTGAAAATGGGCATGGTATCATTGAGCTTTAACCTCAATAACCCAGTAGTGCTACATTTGCTTTCAGCTTTTTATGGCGTTATGCTTTACTAACATAAAAATTCCATTTCTCAAATGGAAAAGCTTCCACCTACAGAAACAGCACCGATTCCACTGACATGAAGTCTGAGAATATGAAGTCTGTTACTAAGGTCACTGCAAAGTTACAGCAGCCCAGTCCAGGCAGAATGAGATCTTGCCCTGATGCTACACAAAGAAAGGTTAGGATTAATTCTCTATGTAGAGAAGCTAGAGCAGCTGAAAGGTCTGCTAAAACCATACGGTATCTTTGGAACTTTTTGTTGTATTCTTGTACTGTATAATATAATTAAAATTGATTAATATCAGCAGTTAAATATTGTTAAATCAATATTTTATAAGGTAAGTGATGTCCTTGGAAATGTATACACCACTCAAAGGAAGATTGCAAGGAAGACTGTGGGGAGGAGTGAAGACATTCTCATTGCCTTGCAGAGCATCTTCATTATGTAAGCTGGAATTATACACTTGCTATTAACTGTATTATAAATTATATATTGTTTAAGGGGACGTGCTTGGTTGCCAGATCTACCTGGGATGCCCTGTGCCTGCTACTCATGACATGTCTTCCTGACTATATTGAGCAATGTCTAGCAGATTAGCAAAGCTCACTTCTGGATCTGCTCGTCACATGCTTCAAATATGACTGGTATGTAGTTCACCATCCTGGTCATGGGAGGACCTAAGGCAACTGGGAATGGCATCTTCTGGTGGGATAACGAGACAGGTAGAATAAAAGGGTGAAAGAACTTGACTGTAGCTGTGTATTGAGGCTACAGTTTCTTCAGCTACACAACTCAGCCTCATATAACAGGCTCTTCAGTTAGAGTCCAGCCTTCTGATATCGGAGTTGTGGTGCTTTTCAATCCCTCTTACTCTGTGAATTGCAATTTCTTGTGGAGAACAGTCCCTGGATTTTCTGGAGATTCATCACTCAGACTACATCTTTGGACGCTCCTTGTTCTGAACTTGTAAGCTGATGTAGTTATCCCCTTGTGCATATATATCCAGGGAATTAGTATTTATCCCTGTGTGTGTGTGTGTGTGTGTGTGTGTGTTTGTGTCTGTGTATGATTGATGAATATGTGTTCTATTCATTTTACTTCTCTCGATAACACTAACCAATGAAACTATAAAATAATTTATACAGTTTTATAATAATTATCTAATAAGCTATGTTGATTGATTTCCAGACATAATTCATGAAAAATTACCATGAACATACTTACTTCCAAACTTGGTCACATTTGTGTGTGTAATAGTCTTCTTGAATGGGCTTGAATTCTGTTAAATGTATTACAATGAAAATTAGTGAAAATTATGTGAACTGAGTATCTTCTGAAATCTTACCCATTTTTGTCAAACATTAATTTGCCATAATGAGCAAAAAGTCATGAATCTGTATTTTAAATGGTTTAGAAAGCTGATCATGTCAAAAAGGAATTCACTCTTATTTACATTTCCTTTTCTTCTTCTTTTCAACCGTACATGAAAACGACTTTGCTAACCTTTTATCATTGCATGTAAGATCAACCTACAAATGTGTAGATTTCACAAAAAAAGGCATTATTGTTAATGAGTAAAGAGAAGTAATCCAAGTTTGCTATGGAATGGTAAAATTATATTAGAAAACTTTAGGCAGAGAAATGTATTGCATGGTGCAAAATATGCAGGCTTAAATTTGAGGCAGCAATGCTTCTGAAGAATATGACTTATTTTTAAGCAGAATTCACTCAGCATATGTAAAAACTTAGCAATGAAGGAAGCCATGGTTAGCAGTGTGTCCACCCAAGTAGGGCTTTATGAACTGTTGAGATGGCAACCCGCTTCTGAGAGGAGATGAGTCCAGAATGGCACGCTGACGTGCTGAGGACTCTGAATCCTCCACACTGCTCCAGCACCTCCTGTGCGCTTGCAGAAACTGCTGGTCTCCACACTCCTCCCAAAGTCAAGCACTGAATGTGAGCACTTGGGATGAAATTACGACAGTGTGAATGAAACTAACATAAGGTAATAGAGTAAATTCACCTTTACATTCTACTTATCATGAGTCCAATGTCACTCAAGAAACTATCATTGCTTTATATTTTCTGACTAATTATATTGAAAATAACATAAATTATACTTTCTCTACAAGTTTTTCAGTATTAAATATTTGAAATTTTTACATCTATAAACAATATAATTTAAGTATTTGCATGTTTCACATCATTAGTGATAACTTATTACCCAAAGAATTTAAAATATACTTTGACAATTACTTTGAATATTTAAAAACATTTATTTCTTTTATGCTTTAATTCTCCCACTGTATTTTGCAGTAGATAAATTTCACTGTATTTGATTCCATCTATATATGCAGAGTGTCATAAAATAGAGAAAAATGAAAACATCTCAAAAGAGTATTTTAAATAACAAAATATATATTACAAATGTATTTTTCCCTAACTAGGATTAAATGTCAATTTAGTGTCACTTAGTGTTAAGTATTGGGGTCCTTTAATGAAGAAGGAAATGTTGCTTATTATCTTTAAGATATGCTAAGAATTTCAGAAGAACTCTAAAATAATTGCTCCAGTTCACCAGCAACTTGGAAGAAATCAGTTATCCACTCTCAATTTATTCAAAAGTTCTCAGTTGAAAAATGGTAAACAAATGGAATTTTAAAAGAAAAGCAGAAAAGGTCAGTAGTAGTGAATTTCTTCATTATTCTAATTTAAAGATATGATTTGATATAGAGCAAAAGCACATCCAGCTGGTAGGGTGAAAGTGGAGGCCTATGGAGTAGAGAGCATGTGACAGCTGTGACTGCATAAGACGCACATTTCCTCTTTTAATATGTTGCATAATCCACTCACAGGAGGCATGGAGGGCAGAGAACAAGGAAGCAGAGAGTAAATATCACTGAGGAGCTCACCTCTGTGCAGATCAATCAGTCACTCAGTTGTCCTCCAGTGCACACACTCAACTCAGGTTTCCTAGATCGCTCCTATCCTGCCTTCCTACAAAAGGTTCAGCACCTTTACAATTTAAGAGTACTTGTGTCTGTTCTTATGGAGGCTTTTCTTACTCTTACAAATTTTGGAGAAGAGGGGGATGTCAGACAACTTTAAATACTCTCCACTCAGGTTTGCATTCTTATTAATTCAGAGTTTCATTGTCCAGAATAAAAAGCCGTTCTCTATAAAGGTGTTTTGAATTCTGACCAAGGTTTTAGATTTACAGAGCCAGTGAATCCTTAAACTCAGGCAAATAGAAGATTGTTGTACAGAAATGTCAGTTTGCTTAATATCTTAGTAAGGTTATTATTTAATAAAATATATGTAATAATAAATTCTAAATGATATATGCATCCTTTCAGTCCAAAAAGATGAATTTTTTCATTTCTTTGTAGAGAGACTTGGACCTGAGAAGGCAGATTGAGCATAGGCCAATTCCAGGTTATCCTCGTGTACCCTTGAGAATGATAGAAATTATTGGTTAAGATTTGGTTCACTACTTTCCTTACTAGGTATTTGTAATATGTGTTTTTATATGTGTGTGTGTTGGCGTTAAAAAGGACTATGTGATAGCACCAAATCAAACTCAGTAAGCTCAAAGGCAATATTTGTAAACCTTAGATATGATTGCACACAAATGTGAGTAAAATGATCTATTTTTCTGCTTCCTACACATATGTGCCTCTTCCTCCTGAAGCAACAAAATTTCCAGATATAAGTTGACTATTGAGTAATTAATTATTTATGTCTGTATGTAGTGTTTTCATGTGTCTTTCTTAGTCTGAATTCAAAGAAAAATAATAAAATTTTATCTATACGTTAAAGACAAAGTAAGAAATAGATGAAAATATATATTACTAAACATTACTAGACAAGGTATCACACAGATATTTCATATTGAAGAAGAGAAGGTAGAAGGTATAGATGCAAGAAAAATACAAAATTGAAACACATTGCTTTAGATATCTTTATATTCTATATTTTAAGTTTCATGGTTTTGAAACATAATTTATCTACCATTCTTGAAGCACAAAATTTATAATTGATAATAAAGTCTATTTCCTAGGAAAAACACTATATATACTTTAGAAACTGCGCAGAAATTACAGTCAAACTTAAAGAAAAAAGCTTTAAAATTTGCAGATCCTCCAACTCACTCAGATCTCTGAAGCTCACCTTCATCACCTGTCTCAATTCTTCTTGGGCTAATTAATCAAGATCCATCGTTTCTGGCCAGTATATCTTCCTGAATATAAGTGAGATCAAAGTAAAGTTTTCTGTATGGAGTTGAGGGCGTAATCTTGATGATGTAAATAGAGGGCAAGGAAGGGAAGGAGAATGTCTGATTAAAAGTATTCACGACGATTTCAAACTTTGGTAACTGATGTCTAATCTTGCTCTTGACACAGACCGTCCTTTCCTGGTGAGGTGTGCTTCCTGTCCTGCTCTGCACCATGGACCTCAAGGGCAAAGGTATGTGCAGTGAGGCAGGGAGTTATTGGCCTCATGGTCTTGTGTGGGTTACTAGAGAAAAGTATTAGCTAATACCAAGAGGTTTTGGATTATTGGTTTAGAGGTAGTATCACTATTTATGTGTAAAGGAAATGGTCAGGGTTTTACTAGAGTGATTCAGTGATCCTCTAAAGGTGCATTTAGACATTTGCCAAAAGTGGAATAACTTTTGCAGTGTATTATTGGAGGTCATGGAGGCACAGGCATCATGCTATCAGTATTTCTTGCATAGAGACCTGTGTCCTGGTATGCACAGTCCAACGAACATGACAGATCTCAGAACAAGAGAATATCTTGCACAAAACACCACAGTGCTCTGTTTGAGCTATTCTGGACCAAAAGCCAATGTGTGCTATTTGTCAGAATTCCAAAAAATCAAAAGTAATATTTTATTGTTCCTTAGTCTACTCTCTGTTTTACCCAACTTGAGTCAACCTCATAAAACTTTCCATTCTGAAGTCATAATGCAGAAATAATGGTCACAGCGAATTTTGTGCTTCTTTCTTAGTATTACTCAAGCCAATGCATTTAAAATGAAAAGCAAGCTGCAAGCAGGTGTGCTGCCTCCTCTACCTGGTAATGGTAGGACTCATGGAAAATCATTGAACTTTTCTAAACTTTTGTTTCAATACATCTGACAATTATTACAAATCCTCAGTCAATCTGCCTGGCTTACACTAACGTTTAAATTTAGAAAACTATCTCACGTGATCAGCAAAGCGTGCATGAACTGCACAGTGTTCCTGTGAGGAATTCTCAGATCCGGCCATGGCGTCACTTTTATGGTAGGATGCTCTTCATGCACAATACCAGCAACCGAGCAATTCTGTGCTTGTTCTTCCAAGAATGAAGATGGAACATAGATCAAATGTGCTGTTCCCATTTAACTGTTTAAGATGCGTATACCTATGAATACAATAAAAACTTACAATCACGTTGAGAATCTTCCTGGTGATCAACTGTAGAATTTCCCAGGATATTAAACTATTCTAGGTCCATAATTTCAAAGTCTTGAATCATATTTAATATAATTTCCAAATATATGCATAGTACAGAGGCACTTGTGGGAGCAATATGAAAATCCAGGAGTGACCACCTCTCAGACTGTGAAAACATACCTCACCTACAGGCCTACAGAGGAATGTGTTGGTTCTTTCCTATCTGAGCTCTTACAGCACCAAGTCATGCCTTGGAGACAGTGGACATAGACAAGGCTTCCCTGGGCAAGATGGCTTGTGATGACCTCACCAAATAGATCATCGCAGATGCTTGTGCTGTCTTTCAAACAGGGTCCCTCCTCCTGCTGGTCATGTCAAATCTGGTCCTGTTCCTGAATGTGGCCTCTCATCGGATCTGTCATGATGATTTGAGATGCCAAGTAAACCTTCATGAGCTATATAATTCTGCAACCTTTACATCTCTGGTCATGCAGTTCCATGCCAAAGACTTCTTCAGGGAATTTGTAAGCATTTCACTTTTTCTGCGTGCCCTAATCGAGAAACCCAAACCATGACTGGACTTTACTAGAATCTAAACATGAGGAACTCCGCAACCAAATATCTAATAATATATGTTAATTTATTTATAAAGTATAGAGTAATAATTTTCGTACATCAAAGAGGGAATGTTTCATGAAAGTCAGATTGTAAAAGAATTAATGACTTTTTAAAAAATCCAGTAGCACATGCAATTTCTAAACTTTTAATGTCCTGACATATGGTTATTAAGTAGGGATGAGGAAGGGTGCCATTTTCTTAGTCATGCACAAAGGGGCCAGTCCACGGTCATTCTTCTTGGAGTGCACAGCAGATATGTAAAAACAAGAAAGGCTTTGCAGTGAGTTGGGTGGATTGAGTATATTTAACTAAATGAAGTCATCCCAGAGGAAAAAAATGTCAAATTAATAGCATTTAGCAACTCCCAATGCTCGAATTCTCTGTTCAAATATGTTCAGAATGAAGTTTATAATTGGAAGTAATAGGATAGTTCACAAGGGGACAGAATTCACCCCTTCCACAGGTACTTGGAACACTGTGTGGATTCTCCTATGTAATAGACAGGAGATTAGGGTTTCCAACAACTAAGTTCTTCCATAGAAAATGAGGCCTAGTGTCTGCGATATACACTATTCACACAGTTCATTTCATTTACTATTGTTCCTTTTATTCCCCATTTTCAAGTGGGCATTTTGTGTCTTGCAAGTCATCTTATCAATACCTTTAAACTTTCACAATTTTCACAACTTTCTGTTAATACTACTCAGTGTATTTCTCTTTGGTTTTCATCTTCAACTATTATTTACAATTTTCTATGAAGTTTTGTTGCATTATATTAGATGTCTTGCTACGTGAAATTTTTGTATTTTGTATTTATGATGAAGTTGGCAATATTCTTGCTTATGAGTTAAGGGTCAATTCAAGGAAGAGTATAATTCATCCACATTTAAAGGAAAATATCACTTTGGACCCATAGAAAAGATATTAAATATGTAGATATGGGTACCTACACGGGATGATTTTAGCTTATATACTAGAGAAAATGATAATTCAAGTACTTAGAGCTTTGTAGTTCATGCTAGTATTAGAGATAGAATTTTAAAGAAGGATGAGACAACAAGGGCATAGCCAAGAAGGAAGTGTTGGAGACATAAGAAAATGTGTTAAAAATCGTGAGATTATATTTACTGGGAAACTCCAGACAAATTAGTCACTTTCATAATTCTTTAGGTTCAATTTTATGTATCTCTCACATTTTAAAAAGTTAGAATTACACCAAATATAGCGATAATTTAGTAATAAATTCAGGTTTTCAATATGCAACACCATACTGCTGAAATATTCTTCAATATTTTCAGGGGAAAGAATATGTCAAGGATTCTAGCTACTTTTTCCCAGCGATGAAAAGTTGCCACACAGCTGATATCCTTGCTCCAGCTGACAAGAGGGAGGCCAGGCTGATGCAGGTGAGTTCAGCTGCATTGGTTTGTCCTGCCTCGGGCGCTAGGAGACTCTGCGGTCAGTGGTAGCAGTAATCAAACCTGCGGAGGAAAACGGACCAAGAGTATGCAGGCCGAGAAAAAGTGCACTTAGTAGGGGGTCAGTTATAGACAAGGTCAAAGTTAAATATTGTACTGGAACCAGAAATTGACCGTGCAGATCATGTTACTTTCATGAATGCCTTGTGCCTGGGGTTGAATGTATTATGCCCTATGTAGTGTGAACTGAATTGGATATTCCGGTACATATGGAAGATGTGCTGGTTCATGGTTTCTGACTGCAAGTTACCTGGGACTCCTGCTCTTGTGGTGTTTACATTGCCTGCCCCTGTCTGATCTGCGCCATCTCTCCTGGACTTTCAGCACTCTGCTTTGATTCTGCCTGTGCTTCTCACACGCGACTTCTTCACCCTGCCTCAATGCTTTCCTCCTCCTCCCATGTCACAACTGTAAGTCTCCCCGATGTGCTGTCCTGTTATGTATGGAGTCGCGGTTCTCAGTTGCAACTCTGAGCTCTGCGCTCTGTCCTGATAAAACAAACTCTCCTCATTCACCTCTATCATTTATCTCAGCTCTAGCTTCTTTATGGTTAATGCCTGTCTCCTAAGAATCCCTCACAGGAAGAAAATCTTAGCATTAATTTCACTAAAGGGAGAGTATTTCATGGGGAAACTACACTGAATGCTGTCTGATTGAATTCTCAGAAGAAAAATATGAGTTTTTTCCTTAGCTTTTCTTGGTTGGTTTTTGTGCAGTACAATATAGGCCAGACACTTAAAGTATATGTTTCTTAAATCTTCCATCATTTCCAGAAAATTTTAAACACTCATGAAGAGCAAGGATTTATATTAATTCCACCTGTCTGAGCCAAAGTCTCACGTGACTAATTCAGCTATGTCTCACTTATTTTATTTTGATCGTTCCAAACGGGCTGCATAGCAAGAACAACTTTTTAACCTCGTGATTCGCTACCTGCGCTCCTGGAGAGATGCCCTGCTGCAGCTGGGCCTGGAAGCACATCGGCTGCCGAAATTCCAAGTATTCCTCTCAAACAAAGTCAGGATTATTTTATCAAAGTACCAACAACTTGAAGATCTCACTCATCTTATAGTCAACCATGTGAGCATTCTTTCGATGAGTCCTTGCATTTCTAATAATGAGTTTCCATCTATGTGAGAATGTTTTGAACTATCTCAAACACTTTGAATATTTTAGCGGCCCGTTCCATCCTCTACTCTGCCATTAAACAGTGTAAGAGCCTTAGCCAGCCACAGTGTGCATTCTAACGCAAAGGAGTGTTAGGGCTTGCTGTTCCAGAGCAGAGCATGTGCAAAGGAATGTTTTCTTCAGAGAATCTCAGGACAGTCACTCAGGACTTAGCATCACATTCTTTCACTGTTCTCAGAGAAGAGGATGACTGTGAGAAAAGAAAAAAGTCAAAATCATGTTAGATGTTCCTTCTGCACACTCTGAGCCAGAGTAGCCTGAGGGACACCATCGTCAGCGCTGCCCCACAGGCACTAGCTGTTATAGCATGGAAAATGGACAGCTAATTTTATTAAGGAATTTTCCTTATGGTAAAGTTTGATGAAACTAGTCTAAGTTTCACTTTCCTTGCTGTTTCTAAATGAATATTAATGTCATCACATTAAAACTTCGGAAATAATTTGTCGTACTTAGCCTGAATTGATATTTTTAGTATGTATCTCCATGTCTATAGGAAAATTCCAGCATTAGATAGACAACACATAAGCACCTTTTTAAATTCTCAGAGAAAATGTGTTATAGGGACATATGTGGTTTTAAAAGTAGTACCTTAAGCAATCTTATGGTTTTCATTTTTTCCTAAGTACCTGTTATGTCCTGATACCTTCATAGGAAAAATTGTCTGACACAAGAAAAAAGAGTGTGTTAACCCAGGAACATAGAAAATAAACACCTTAATTTGAATTTCATTTCTTTATTATTGTGAGCACACTTCTTCAGTTAATTAATTTGTTATATAGTTCATTGCTTTATGTCCTTTTATCCAAAAACTTAAGTAGTATTGTGAATAACTTGGTAGTTTGCAGGAAGTATTGTCTTAGTGGTAAGCCTCAACAGAAAAAACAAAACAAAAAACAGAAACCTATATAAAATATGCAGACATATGGTTCAATAAAAAGTATTCCTACTGTGCAGAAGACAATTTAGCTGACCAGGGTCTGCAGTTATTCCTTATTTGTACTCTGCAGGTCTGGAAATGAGCTGACCTCTTCCGAGGCAGCACAGTGTCACTGTGGCTCTGGGATCTGAGGGTCTCCCAGCTCCCACAGGCTGATGGAGGGCACAGGGACCCACTGATCTCTCTTCACTGTGCAGTGCTTTGCTGAGCACAGTTTCTCCCCACCGCACAGCACAGTCTTCACCATGGCCAGCTACCGCCAGTGCCCTCTTTATACACACTTTCTTTCCAACTGACATTTTGTCAGTCATGACTTGATTGTCAGTACCTTTAAGTACTAATTGCAGAATTCATTATTTCTAGAGTCTCAGTTCTGTCACTGTATTCAAAACAGTTGCTGCACAAAGGAGCCAAAAGTAAATGCTGAGCTAGCAGGAGAAGTAAAATACAAAGCAATTGTCAGGCATAAGTTTCAGAAAGTGTGAAAGTTCATAAAGTGTGATAAAAGAAAAAGCCTCTGCAGTGTTCCTTAGTCAAGTCCATATCTATACTCAAGTAGCAACTTTCTGGATCTAGACCTTAGGGCTCTACCCTCCAGGAGCATAGGTTTCCTTTGATCACTTTCCTGTCAGAGTAACAGAGCATGTGTTCTGCTTCTAGCTTTTAGATGACTAATAGTTATGTGATAGTTGGGCAAGATAAAGGACAAGTTTACAGTTTAACTAAAGTTTTAAGTTTCTGTTAGTTTCCAAATCTCAATTTAAGAATGTGAAGAAATAAAGAGGTAGAAATGTCAATAGTATCATTAAAAGTGACTGTCTTTCTGATGTCTAGTTTGACTTAGAAATCCCAGACAATGTGGAGTACTCTTTGTGGTTGGAGAAGGAATCACTGGAGTCACCTGATGAGCAAGCTCGCCTGTTCACTGTTTATAACACGCTCCGCTGCTTGGTCTCTGATACAAACAAGATTCACTTTCTTCTCTCCTTCTTGAACTGCCTCGCATACAACCAGCGTGTTTGTTAATTCCACGTGCAATGGTGTTGTTTCTGAAATGTTTGCCAATAATTTATCACTAGGAATGATTACTTTGGAAATGTGACTTTCAAGGCATGCTTCCCTATGAAGCATAGATATCCCTGCATACAAAATTAAAAACTAACCTTTTGACATTGTCAACTTGTGAGTTTCTTTTCATCATTTAACAGAAAATCTAAAATATACCATGAGCTTTGGGGAACTGAGCTGGTGTTCGACCATGTATTTAGGGCAAGAGCAAGACCAGACCTGAGAGCATGGCACTCCAGAGAAGAGCCATTTGAGCAAGTTGTTTGGACCAGAGTAAGGTCAGTCCAGCAAGTGTGTGGCCTTGGGGTTATTCCCTTTAACTACAGCTCAGGCAGCTGTGACAATGTTTCACTTTCAGTGTTCTCTGCGAAACACTGACACCTGGCACTTGTGGTCCCAAGGAGGTTTCCCTCTTTCTACTGTGTATAAATAAAGATGCGGATTGCACTGGGTTGTCCCTGCCTCTGCATCAGAGAAGTCAGGTCCCACCCTGTCCCAGCTTTACTTTTAGTGTGTATCTGTAGATTTTTTTCTCACTCTCCCATATCTCCCTCTCTGGACTCTGTTGGCTGTGTGAGTTGCAGCAATAAAGAGAAAAGTGTTATGTATCCCATAGTTTTTGGGTTATAAAGTATTTTCTGAAATTTTATTGATAATTGAACATCAGTTTTAAAATCCTTTATTAGTTTCTATTAGAAAATGAAATGTGGATCACTGAAAAGTTTAAAAAAATGAAATGACGTATACAAATTTATTCTTATATCATTTTCTTAAGTGTCTGTGAGGACTTGCATCCCTTGTGGTGCTAAGATTTGAAGCCATTTATTGTGGTGAGCTCAGCCACACTTGAGAGAGACTGAGTCTTTCTCGGGCTTCCTGTACATCTGGGTCTCACACAGCTGTTGCTGAGCAGGCTGATACCAGGCAGCACATAGAGAGCACCTGCCATTCCTCCATTTGACTTTTGTTTGAGTAGAATAGCCAAGGCAGGTTACCTGGGTGGCTCTGAATAATAAACAGCAAACAAAACCACAGGAGAATTTGTTGCCATTCTCTACTTGTGCCCTGTCAATTTATCAACCTCCCATTTTCCAAAGCAATTGTGTCCAATAAGTTGAAACACTGTAGGCGACAAAATCATTCTTCCCTACCCATCCCACAGTGCAGGGCTGCAACTGCTGTTACACCAGGTGGATGAATAGCCAGTAAAATATCCTATTTATTTAGCAATAACACATATATGTTCATGACACTTTTTAAGGAAATGACACCCCAGAGAATCTGGGAAAGTTGTATATTTTTATTTCTAAGTTGATTTTTTAAAAAGTTTATAGTAATCCTGCAGAATGAGGTCTGCAGGATCACACCTGAAGAAATAGTAATAACCGTGGGGAGAAAGAGCAAGGCCTGCATGTACTTAGTCATGTCAGTGGCTCCAGAGATAGGACACTGCTGCCTTCTGTTCTCTGGAATGCACCTCAGGAATGATATTCTTATCATGCTCCTCAGGGGAAAAGCACAAAGCTTATGAATTCTTCAGGCAGGGCCAGAGGAATGAGTCTTCCGACTCTTTGCAGGGAATAAGGGTGCAAGAAAATGCTCCTAAGATCTTTGTTTTCTCAGGTATCAAAGTGTCATGTGGGGAGGGGGAAGCATGTTGACAACCACATCCGAAGTGAGAAAGGAGACACTAAATTAATTCTGTAAAGCAAATCCATGCAAATCAAGTGATGTTCTCCCATGTCTATTACAAGAAAATGCAGTCCTTGTCTCACACTCCATTTTTATAAGAGTAAGAGGAGCATACTTGTGTTCACCCAAATTAGTTTGCAGAAGTAAGAAACAAAAAAAGGGAAGGAAAGTAGAACTCATGATAATAGCTTAATTAAAATTTTAACACAAGCAACAGACTTACATTTGGATTTTGGTGAAAAATGTGAACACTTTTCTAAGGTTACTCAGCCATTATGCTGATCATGAGGTACAAGATGTCCATTTTCAGTGGAATGTTTTCATGTTTTTCTAAAGGTTTCTTTTCTCTTCACTTAATTGTGCCTTAATATTCCCCACATTGCTGCAGTTGAAGTTCAGATATTTGGATTCACTATAATACATTTTCCAGCAGTGGATCCCGCTTTGGTCAGGATTCTTTCAGCCCAGTAACCTGCCGAGAAACCTTTGTGCGTACAATCTACAAATCCTTGTGTTCCCACCGGACTGAGCCACACACTAATGAAAGGTGTACATTCAGTTTATTTGTATCAGAGGAGTATGCCATATCCTGCTACTTAATTAAATACATAAAAGCAAAAAAATCAATACCCCAAAGATCACTAACATGAGGTATTTATTCAGAACAGAGTACTTGTCTCCTACAAAGAAGTTTTAATAAAAATAATTTGTTTAAAAAAGAGCTATCATGACACCACAATATCATGTGAAATTAATCAGACTAACAAGATTAAATATTGTATTGAATAACTAATGTGAGAACTGCAAAATATAATGAATTGAAAGCAAATACCTCTGATAACAGTTCACATGGAGGTAGGGCACTGCTAATGAAAGAGGAACAGGAGCTGTCTCAGCCTCCCCAGTGTCTGAGACCTGCAGGGGCCTTATCTGGATGGCTCCTCTTAGTCTCACCTCTCCCTCCTGTGTTAGGGTTGCAGTCTCTGATCCCTGCCAGGTACCTCTGTAACCTAGGACTCATAGCTTTCTGTCTTCTGTTTAGGGATGGGAGCTTTCCTTACTGATCCTTAGTCATTAGCAGAGAGGATAAAGCACAGAAATGCAGAAATCCTTGGTGTTTAAGAGACAATGGGGAGAAGCAGTGCCTGTCACAGAGGTGCTCCCTCCCCTTCCTCCCCAGTGTCACTGGCTGTACCCATGGCTGCTTGGACTCTTTCTACAGTTATCTCCCAGGGTGGGTGCCTCTTCCATGAGGAAGGAGAGTATACAGGGAGCTGGTTCCTGGAATGCGGCCTCTCTGATGCTCGCTTTTCTTCAAAATGTTAGAGACTCTCCTAAGGTGTCATGTGCAGGAGTAGAGGCTTAGCGGTGTTGCTGATCAGCAGGGGATCTGCTGCCCTTTTTGAGGCAATCTGATGATTGATTCAATCTAGAGGATTTATCTTTCTGGTTGATTTCTCATAGCTGGGAATGTTTGCTTTCTCTATCTCCGGGTACCTCATTTAATAAGTTTTGTCCCCTGAGTTTACCAATCATAAGGTTGTCTTTGCACTTTATTTGTGTTTGGGAGGAACCAAAAATCATACAGTTTTAGGTTCAGTGCAAAAGACAGATGAAGAGATTCTTTAATATTTGGCATGTGTCACTTTCCCCTGGATTGCATTGTCCGTTAACTCTCAACATATGCAGTTTTCACCACAGCTGATGAAACCACTCATGAGGAGGACTTCTAGAATGACAGTAAAAAGTGCCACGAACAACATGCTATGTGTTCAAGGGGAAGGGAGATTTTTGAGTGGTAGTCTTGGCTATTATCTGTGGTTATAATGAGATTTTCACTTAAACATTCACCATATTTCAATCTCAAATTTTACTTTTAATAAACATGGATATTGCACAGGATACTTTACATTCTACTCTCCTATTGCTTCTTGCTGCAGAGTAATTATATTTTTGAAGTACAACCATTTGTTTAAATAGAACATTTCTCTGTATACTCTACAATGCTTCTGGTTCTGCTCACTTTTTAAATAATCTTTTAAAATCTGGTGCAAAGTTGGAGCTCTACACTAAGAGGAAAGAATTGAGGAAAGAAAAGTGATCATTTGATACAAAACCTCTTTGAAAATTGACCTATATTAAGCAAAAGAGTTTGAATCTGATTCATCCCAGAACAAATTAACCAGAACAGGAACAATGAGCATAAAGACAGTGTTGGTCTGGGCTGAATTTTCTCAACTTTTCCTGGGATAAGATCTCTTTATCCAGTTACAAGGTGAGGGTTTTTACTGTGCTTTACTTCTCTTCTATTTTGAGTTCAGTCGTCTTCCAAAGTAACTAAAAACTTGCTCAGGAGCTCCAGGCCGCTGGTATCTCACCACCTGTGGTTCCATAAGGTATAGATGCCACGCGATGTTCTACACTGCGCATCAGACTGAACACAGAGAACATTCACCATAAGTTATAAGTGTATAACTTCTAAGTTCCTCAAGCAATTTGACACTTAAATAACTATAATGGATTTACTCTCTTTCCTAGAAGTGCACAAAGAATTACCTTTATGTAATCAGCTTTTCTTCAATACAACTCTGAATATAGTATAGAGAAATCGAGAAATGTTATGACATTTTTCTGCAATCGAACATCTTTGTGACTAGTGTTCCTGTGTTACTGAAGTATGTATGCTAAACATAGAATTTATAATATTAAATTTTTTATACATTAACTGAGCAGAGAAGAAAGTTTTCTACTGAAAACTACTTCGATGGAAAAATATCATCTTTGGATGAAATACTTCCACCTACGTTTATCAAAACATTATATCTAGGTCTCTGAATTTCCTAATTATAATTAGCTCTAGGTTGAAGATTACAGCATCTGTGGTTTCCAGCATCATTTTCAAAAACAAAGAAGATATTCCAACTTATTCCTTTGCTTATACTTCATCTCCTCAGCATTATTTTCTTCTTCAGTTAATCACAAAACTCAATTGTAATATTTGTGATTTTTACTACCTTTTTGTGTTTAACAATAAACCAGTGCCCACATCGCATATAATATTTAAGATGGAAGCGTGCTTCTCCAAGATTTTCTGCAGTAGTTACCCAGTTGACGTATAAAGGACCCCCCCACCTTCCTTCTTTAAGTGCTCACAGTCAGTGGTGGATAAACAGGAACAGTAGAGACTGAAGTGATTTTTGTGAGAACAAGAAAATGTAAAAATTACTGTCACCTCAATAAAACTACACAAATCTTATTGGAAAGCT